CAGAATTTTTGAGAACTTGGCCTGGGAATATGCATTGTTAACAGATTCTTTAGGTGATTCATATGCAATTTAGAGAACCAGTAATCAGTGCAAATCATTGAGTAAGCTCTGAAACTTGACTTAAAAGTTTTAAAAGACAAAATTCAAACCAGCTGAAGCCATTATATGCCCACAGGTTAAGTGAAGACCGTAGTCTGGAACTATGACTGGAATAGCTGGCTGGCTAAGTAATCATTTATTCTGTCAGCAGTGCAAACTATGTTTTTATAACTTTGTGACAAATAGCTGATGGATAATTCAACAGAACTGCGAACCTAACGTCACCATGGTGATTACTCCTTTTGTGGGGTATACACTGCCAAACTTCTCACCCCTGCCATCACCCTGGCACAAGCTCAGTCTTTAATCATCAGATTCTTGGGTTTAGATGATAAAATCTACAAGTGAGGAGAGGGAAGGGAAGTAGGAAAAGGAGAGGAAGGATAATGAGTAAGAATATTATTATATGGAAATTTTAATTAGTCTTCATTTTAGAAACACAGGAACAAGTCCAAATCTCTTTCCCTATAATATAGAGAGAAAAATCTATTTTCATTTTCAGAGAAAATGAAATCAGTGAAATGGTAAAGGGGAAAGGAAATTGTTAATACAGTTTTAAAATGTTTCAAAATTTCTCCTGGAAAAATAGGTCAGAAACTTAAGGAGATATAGATTCTATATCCAGTTTATAGCCTTTAATGGATGTGCGTACCAATTCATAATTTTTTAACCTACGGGAGTTAATATTGATAGAAAAGAGCTTTTTCTATCCCAGAAGTAGTATAAAAATGTAAGTGATATAATTTAATTATAACAAAATTTATTCTCTATGAATCATCCAGAATACAGCTAAATAAATAAAGGCCATTGAGTTGCTTTCTCTGACAGAGACAAATGGTACAAACACTTGGAGTTAGAATTATAAAGTCAGCTATATTATCTGATAAAACAATAGCAACATGTTCTAAAATCCTATCCAAACAAAAACCATGTAATAAGGTATGAATAGAGAAAAATCTGGGCTACTTTCAGTAATAGTTCCTCCTCTTCACTACATAAAGCAATTCAATATACAATTTGCTAAAACAAATTCAATGAAAAAATTCAATGTAATTTGGTGAAATGCTCTAGGTAGCCATGGAAAATGACTCAGTTCAGCATCTTCCTATGGATCTGCCTATTCAACATGGATCTGAGTCACAAAGTTAAACATGGCCACTAATAATCCATACATACAATGGCACTACAAGGAGAACAGGGCAGGTGACCAATGATCAGTATTACCAAGGAGTCTAGGGTTTTAAAAACTTAGAAACTTTTTTAACATTCCATTGCTTTCCAGATTTTAGATACATAAAAATGTAAGTGTATTTGGCAAAATATAAGGAAGCCAACACTTATCTTCAGATGGCAGGTAGCACAGAACATTGCAGTTACTTAGCACCAAGTTTGAAAGTCGGCTCCAATTTAACTATCATCTCTATATCTTGGTTCATGAGGTGATAATTATCAGTCCTACCTCATTATGCTGTTGAGAAAGTTAAATATGTCAAACCTTCCGTGGAGTGTTAAGGAGGTTACTATCAATAGAAGTAATGTTTTAGTGCAGAGCAGATATTCCATAAAGTTTAATCCCCTTCTGTTCTTGATTTGCAATTCAAAGGTAGAAACATATTCCAATCAATGTATAGGAAATAATAATACATTGCAGTATATACCAAAATCAAAACTGAATTTTTGTGACATTTAACTTTTCTTTCTTTATGGCTACAAACACATTTTATAACTTACATTGGTCACTAAAATCCATGTTAATTAAAATTGCAGTTTAAATTTGAGATATACAATTGGTTTTATTATCAATAGTTGTTAAATTTGATTGGTACCAAGAATGGTGCCATTGCTGTGGCTGTACCTGTTCCTGTGGTTTAGATACCTTTACAACTAGGTTGTTAGAAGAATTTGGGAAGGACTGAATATGTAGGCTTCAGAATGCAGGATGCAGAACTAAATGGGTGATTCTGATCAGAACTCAGAAAAACAGAATGCTTGATAGGAAAATGGACAGGAATAGCCTGGACTAAGAGGTTTCATTTGTAAACAAGGACTCCAGTGGCACTGGTTTAGAGGTGTTACATGCTGGCAGAAAATTTTATGACCTGAGACTGTAGAAGACTGAGATTAAGAGGGGCAGACTAATTAATCTAATGGAGGAAATTTCAAGAGAGCTTAACATTCAAGCTGTGGCATTATTTGTTTGTTTGTTTGTTTGTTTTTTAGTGAGAATTAGAGGGAACTTTGAAATTCAGAAAAGCTTAAATATTTTAGCCACATATAAGGTTGAAGACAAAGGAGATGTGGCTAGGGCGGCTGCTGAATAGATTAGAATGATTAAAAGGAGAACAAGTACTTTGGATAGGGGCAAGAAGAAAATGTGCCTTGAGGGCATCTCAGGAATAGCAAGACCCCACTGACAACAGTCTCAAAACTGCAAAAATTAAACAGGGCCTCCTAGGTAACTGGTTTTCTTTCCTTTTTTTTTTTTTTTTCCTTTCTTTTTTTGGTCTTTTTCATTTTTATTGGTACCAGGGATCAAACTCACGACTGCTTGCTTGCAAGGCAGGCGCTTTTATGCCGCTGAGCTAAATCCCCAGCCCCAAGGTAACTGGTTTTCTAATAACTGTGATTTATGTACTCTTGCTTAGCCATACAGGGACTCTGAGGCTGCTGCAGCTGTGTCCAAGGGGCCCAGGACACTATTCTTGCTCACAGCAGCCTTCAAAATTTTCTTTGTGTTGATGTTTGTTTAAGAATGCAGAAAAGAACAGTTGTGGGTTCAAGGAGACCTCCCGCTAGACTTCAGAAAGTGGCCTGGAAAGCCAGGCAAGAAGTCCTTGAGAAAGCAGTGTGTGAAGATATGGGAATAAAGTCAAAGATGCAATGAACACTCAAGGAAATAGAAGGGGCCAGTAATTTGGAATTTCTGTCAAGTAAAGCTGAAGGCTGAGGGTACAGCCAGCATAAAACAGAGGTCAAGTGGGCTGCAACTAGCAAGGCCATAGGAATAAGGATGTCCATACTCCCTGTGAGTCACCTTTTACCTCCTTATGCCCTAGATGCCAGATATAGAGCTACAGGACTTAATGTTTCTCCGCTTTGGTTTGGCCTGTTTCTTGTCTATTCTGATATTCTTCTCTTTACGATGTGAATTTTTACTCTATAGCTTTGTAACCTGGGATTATGTAACTTGTTTTGCATTTTTACAAAGATTCAGAGCTAAGCATTTTCTTTGAATCTCAAAAGAGACATGGCCTTGGACGTTTGGAAGGTGTAAGAACCGTTGACACTTTGAGGAAAGGATATTCCACTTTCAATTGCATGAAAGATAGCTGTATTATGTTAAGTGGAAATATCAGCTTGTGTTTATTGAGGAGTGAGCATGGTTAAAGGATTTGTGGTTAGATATCAAGCTGACAAAGAGGGGATATGATGATTAAGTTTGATTGCGTCAACTTGATTGGCTTGATGTTGCCACAGGAATTGGTGCAGCATATTGTTGGTTATACAGGCATGACTCTGAGTACTATGTCCAGGCTTTCATCACTGCCCTGCTTCCAAGCAGAGCAACTTAAGCACCTTTGCTCTGCTATGTCCTCTTACCCTGATGTCCCCATTTTGGAGTGTACCAAAACCATGAGCTAAATTAAATCTTTTATCATTTAAATTGTGGGTTTTGGGTATTGTGTCTCACTGAATGGCAATCAGATTAATACAATATTTAAAGTAGTTTTAAAATTATTTTTCTGGTAGTTGGAACCCAGTGTCTCTATAATGACACCTTTTCACTGACATCCTAATAATCATCATTATCACTAGGACTGTAATAGACTGAGTATCTCTGTTTCTCAAAAATCAGATGCTGAAGCAATAATTCCCTATCTCCATCCCCACTCATGAAAGGACATGGAAAGAAATTGGAAGTTGTCAGTATGCAAACCCTGAAGAACATTTCATCTTGACCAACCCAGTGGTCTCAGACTTCCAAAGCACGCGGACTATGGTGGGTTTTTTTTTGTTGTTGTTTTGTTTTGTTTTTTTAAATAGAAACTCAAACTTACCAAAATAGGGAAAAACTCACTCTATGAGTGTTACAGAAAGTTAATACATACCAATGTGTTTTAAAAACCATAATGGGCTACCATTGCTGTCACCACAAAACAGAGAAGGTAAAGCTCCTCCTTTAAAATGTCCACAATCTTTTCAGACTAGAAAATACACACTGAAAAGATCTGAACAATTTGCCTCATTTTAAAATTTCTACACAAAATTCTCACAAATAAACATGTTTCATAAATAAAAATCACAATACATCTCTTGTTTTCTATTATGAAGCTGTCTATAGAAGCACACATTCAGGTAGTGTTGGAACATACACAATACAAATGGTCATTGTTCAAGGGCCAGATGTACTTGTCAAACATGAAAGACCAAGCAACTGATGCAATAGGTCTTCAGCAAAGCCTTGCTGTAAGGGAAAGATTTCTATAGAAGATCCATTTAAAATTCCATTTCACACTTCTAATTTAAAGCCAGTTCAAATGTAATTTATTTTATCAGGGCCATTCTTTTAGTGAGGGTCAGAAGCACAATCAACAGAGATGACAATTAAGCTTATCAAAAGATAACCTGGAGTCAACAGTGCTGAGCAAGAGAAAACAAAATAAAACAAACAAATGAAAAAACAGAAGTGGGACTCAGACTGGAAACAATAGCTATCAGCATACAAATAGACCTCCTTTCAAACCAACCATTCTCCAACAAAGCTTTAACTTATTACCATCTCTGCAAAGGCAAGCTCATTTGTCATTCTATCTGAGTGCCTCTATATGCCTTTATTTTTCCAAGGTTGAAGATTTCAGAGAGGTGAAACAATCATATCTGGCACAAAACAGTAAACTTACCACTCTCGTCATCTATATTGAACCTTCCAAGTCCACTGCCATCCCTGATGGAGTACTGGATTTCTCCATCCCTCCCAGAGTCTTCATCCTGTGCAGTTACCTGCAGGACACTTGTTCCAATACGCGAGTTTTCTTTTACAGATCCAACAACAGCAAAGTCTGGAAAGTAGGGAGTATGAAGGTTTTCATTGACATCCACAACTTCCACCTCAACAAAGGAAACCGATGACAAAGAGACAGGTCGTCCTTTGTCTTTGGCCCGAACTGTGAGATTATAAAACTGTTGCTTTTCATAGTCAAGCTCTTTGCTCAAGCGGATAGCACCACTTGCTTTGTCTATTTCGAATCTCCCATTATAATCATTGACCAAAGAATAACGTACTTGACCCCCCAGTCCGAGATCTGGATCATGAGTTTCCAACCAAGCAATGACAGTGCCAACAGGGAGGTCTTCAAGAACCTTCACACTATAGCTACTTGGAATGAAAGCTGGAGAGCAGTCATTTACATCATCCAGAAAAACCTTAAGGGTGACAACTGAAAACAGCTGCTGACCATTTTCTGCCTTGTCTCTGGCTTCTATTTTGAGGGAATAGTTTGCTTTGGATTCCCGATCCAATTGGTCTGCCACATAAATGACACCAGTTGAACTATTGATGGCAAACTCTTGTGTATCTGTCAGGACTGAGTAAGTTACTTCACCGTTGGAACCCAGGTCTTTGTCTCTGGCTTCCACTTGAATAATCTCAGTACCAATACTTGAACTTTCAAGAATGTTAACAGAGTAACTATCTTGAAGAAAAATAGGGCTGTTATCATTAGCATCCTCTATATTGATGGTTAGCAATCTCCATGAAGATTTCTGTGGATTACCCAAGTCATAGATGGTGATATTAAGGAGATAGAGATCTGTGTGCTCTCGATCCATGGGCATAAGTACTTTAAGTTGCCCAGTCTCCATATCAATATTAAAGCAACTGTCAGTATTTCCATCAGATATTGTAAATAGCACCTTTCCATTAAAGCCAGAGTCAGCATCATAGGCTTTAATCTTCAAGATGTTAGCACCAACTGGCAGATTCTCCTTCACAGCCATATCAGAAGGAAAAGACTTGTCAAAATGTGGTCCTTGCCTATTAACTGAATAAAAGTCAAGAAACCCATCTTCCAGATTCAGTTTCCCATTTGCTTTTGCCTTAATAAGTAGTTTTTCTGCCAGTTTCTGAGCCACACGAGTTTCTCTGCAACTGAAGCTCTTTGAAGACACCTTCCCATGGAGGACTGAAATGTTAATGGCCATAGGGTCTGCAAAATTCTCTCCATCAGTTGCTGTAATTCTCAGTGCGAAATTACCATTTTTAATGCCGGGATTCATCAGTGACTTTTTAAGCTGTAAAACACCAGAGTCTGGGTTTAAATAAAAGAAACCAAGCTCATTTCCAGAAATGATCTTGTACTTTACAAGTTCAAGTTCATCAATATCAATTGCTGACACAGCTGTGATGTGACCACCGACTGGAAAATCATATGAAATTACTCCCTGACAAGCTACTTTTTCAAAGAGAGGGCTGTTGTCATTGACATTTCCTATTCGGATAGTCACGTTTACCTCACTTTCATGGCGGTATGGCGAACCCCAGTCAGATGCTCTGACGATGAATCTGTAAGTTTCTGGAGAAGATTCAAAATCTAATTCTTCAGTTGTGCTAATTACTCCTGTAAACTGGTTAATAGCAAATGGTAATAAATTCAGGCTGGCAATACTGTAAGTGATGTACCCATTTTCTCCTTTATCCTTATCAGAAGCTGAAACTGACAGAATGCTTGTTCCTACTGGAACACTTTCATTCACAAAAGTGTCATACAGGCTCTGCTGGAATTCTGGGGTGTGATCATTTGCATCGTCTATGCCAATGATTACTTGTGCTTTTATATTACCTTCCTTATTTGTCACCTCCAGTTTATAAACCTCCTTCTTAATGGTATTCAGTGGCTGTGCTGTGACAATCAAACCTGTCCGGGGATTGATTTTGAAGTACCCTGCATCTTCACCAGGAGATAACTTGTATTCCACATCCAGAGGTTCAGGACTTAATTTTATTATAGCAACCACCACACCGGGAGGGGAAAACTCACTTATGTTAACATTGTATACTTCTTTTTCAAATTGAACTGGGACACTGTTTCTTTTAGGGTTGGAAATGTGGGCTGTCTTTAGTGCCGAAAACTTTTGAGGTGACCCTTTGTCTTTCGCTTGAAGAGTGAGATTGTAGCCATAGGGAAAGCTTGCCCAGTCAACTTGTTTCCTCTCTTTGATCTTATATTCATTCATCCACTTCCCTTCCTTAGCCAGGAAGAACTGATCTAAAGGATCTCCAGCCACAATGGAAACGGATTCGATCTCTCCATTGGCCCCCTCATCTAGGTCATCAACTGTCACCACTGCATACGTCGGCTCTTTGTCCAATGAAAAAGGAACGTGAGTGACTACCTGAATCACCGGGGCATGTTCATTTACACGTTCAATGTGAACGTAAAGTTTTGCAGTGCTGCTCACTCCGTTGTTGCCATAGAGTTTCATTCCTCGGTCCACAGCTAAAATTTCCAAATCATACCTGTTCTTTTCATCATAATTTAATCGTCCACTTAGAGAGATGACACCACTTGTTGGGTGAACTGAAAAGAGATCAACTTTGTTTTTAAAATAATAATAGAATTCTCCATTAGAACCAATATCAGCATCAGTTGCTGTCACCTGAGCGACACTAGTCCTTAGAGGTGTGCTTTCTGCTATTGTAACAGAATACGTTGTGGGTGAAAACAGAGGCCTCAGATCATTCATATCTAAAACCTGGATATTCACTTTGGTCCATGCTTCCAAATCTTCTCCTCTAACAGAACCTTTTACTATCAATAAATAATTGTCCTGAATTTCCCTATTCAAAATGGCAGAATTTCCACCCTTAGTTCTTATTCTGAGAAAACAGAAATCTGCAATGATGACTTCTTCTGCTTTGAAAAAGCCTTCCTCATCTCCAGACACTATTCTGTATTTGATATCCCAGGACAAATCTATTAAGGTGATGCCCATTCTGCTCTGGCTGTTGACGTAGGTCCTTGCTGCAGAATTTTCATAGACTGTAGCATTATAAATGGAATGTGTGAAGTGAAAGCCCAGGGGCCCTGTCCCTGGCAGTCCCTGGGAGACAGTGGCCAACAGCTTAAGAAGCAGGAGGATGAGGCAAGAAGAAGGAGGTCGTGTCCCCACACAGTGTCCCATAATTATATCCATCACATCATACTTCCATCCTGGAGGGGAAAGAAACAGAGAGAGAGAAAAAAACAGGTAAATTAACCTGAAAGAGTGAAAAAAGAAATAGAAAATAACTGTTATGAAACAGTGCTTTTTAAAAACTGGATTTCAAAAATCTTATTAAAATATGAATTCAAGAAAAATGAAAACTTCACTACTACTAGATTATAAGGAATTCAAAATCACTAGAATTTAACCTTATCATGTTTGAGTTTAAGTGACACTTTTACATGGCTGATGTGAGTGTTCATTGCTACATGATATGTTTATATCCTGAAGGTCAATTTAGAAATACATAGTGGAGGTGCATTTGTCTTTGATATACAATTGTCTTTCATGTAATTATCCTATGAAAATAGTTATAGATATTCATTATAACAGTTAAAATTTAAAAACTGAGAATCCATGAAATAATTTCCAGCAAAGGATCCAATAATTCATGTGCATTCCTAAAAAATACTATTCAACCATTCAAGAAAATGATAAACATATACATTTTCAAATTAGATTAAAATGTAATGCTCAGTGAAGAAAAGTTCATCAATAAGTATAGGTAGTACGATCCTATTATTATTACTTAATTATCTATGTGCAAAACTGCATCTTTATATTTTAAATAGGTTGACTTTTGCAAAATTTGGGGGTATATCTGAAATTTTTTTGAGACAAGGTCTCACTATGTAGTTCAGGATAGCTTCAAACTCACTATGTAGCCCAGACTGAGCTTGAACTCATCAGGGTCTTTCTGCTTCAGCCTTCAGAGTGCTGGGATTAAAGGTATGCATTACCCAGCTCTCACATCTGCATTTTGAAATTTTACTTCCATGACTATTGTTCAACAGTGGTTATATAATTAATTTCATATAATTACAATTATTAAAAAGGCTTCAAGGTATTATCATTTATTTTACTTACTTTCAAGCCATTCACAATTTATGCATAATTCAATGCTATGAGAATGAATAAGGCAACAGGTAATACAGCTGACAAGAATTGCAGGACCTAAACTATATCTCTCAGATGACTGTGCTGCTCATGCTCAGAAAAAGAAGATAAATGATTGCTTATAGGAAATATTGAAAGGGTCTACAAGAGGTACTTATTATTATTATTAATTTTTTTTTGGAGGTGGTACCGGGGGTCAAACTCACAACCTCACAATTGCCAGACAGGCACTTATGCCACTAAGCTAAATCCCTAGCCTGGTACTTATTTTCATCAGTGACTATTAAATTTTGACAGTCTTAAAACCAGGCAGATTATAAAATAAAAACACCTTCCTGCTTTACGCAGTAAAAACGATCATATCTTTAAAACAGCAAAGAGGAGTTGTGGGGGGGGGGGTTATTTAGCAAAAAGATAAGTAAGTATATTTACATTCTGATAGCTCCTAAAACCTCCAAATTGGAGTTCTGATGTGAAGCCATACTCTGCAGGCCCCTGGTTTTAGTCTCTTCCTTTTCTGCAGGGCATATAAAAACAGAGAGGGTGAGAAATGAATCCTTCTGAAGGTAACAATGACTTACACTGAATGCCAGTTTTTTCATGCTGATCTATTGAATTTTCACAACAATCCTAAGGAAAAGGTTACTATTTTACTGAACTATATACTATAAAAAGCAATGGTTACAGAATTTAAGCCATTTGACTGGGACATTGCCCAAGCAATGTCCAGGAAGTAAGTGGTAAAACACAGTCTTAGTCTCTGAGTTTTCTTACTCCCAAATCAATACTTTCCATCATTACACCATCAGTCTCTCTAAATTATTTGCAATTAAGAATGCAAATTGAGGCTTCTATATGTACATCTGATATTATTTAATTCTATAAAATTAGTCAACCAGTATCATTGATTGGAAAGCATGAAACCTATTCAGCTTCTATATTTGATTATCTCCTTCTTGGTTTTAAATTAGTTCCAAGTAGTCTCTGTATGTTAAAGTGCACACCCTCCAGAAATCAACACATTAAAACATTACAAATTATTTTTGTAACTTATAAATAGCTTTAAATCCACCATTGGGAAAGCATATATTATTACAATGTTCTTGTAGATAAGAAGAGCAAGCTTCCTTTTACTAGTATTAAGAGTCTGGATTAGAATTCAGGTTCCTTCATGATCCCATAAGGCTTGCCCATTTTTTTTCAGCTCTGCCTTTCAAAATGTTTTCAGAACAAAATGCTCTCCTAACTGGGTGTACAGACGCTGGATTACAACTGGGGATGAAATATGCCTGGTTGCTGTCATGTGGTGAAGTATCTACGCTAGGATAAATAGCAGGTAGAAAGTCGATTTTTAACGTGAGGGTTTCACATGCAAAAGAGAAAGTAAAAATGAAAAGTAGCAAATAGGAAATAACTCTCCAAAAAGAAATTATTTTCATATGCAGCTCCTCTGCCTGTCCTTGATAAATGCCTCAGATGCTAAGTATGTGAAACAGGAAGACTATGGCACCGGCTCAGGGTAAAGGCCAAGGTAGAAGGTAGCTAGCAACCTTGCTCAGAAACGTCCCAGAAAGCCATGGATGGGCCACTGCTCATCTCAGAGGAAACTGGTGAGGAAAAATGATATATATACAGGGTTTTATTCTTTCCCTCCCTCCCCTCCCCTTCTTCCTTCCTTCCTTTCTCTCTCTCTCCCTCACCTCTCCTCCCCCACCCCCTCTCAGGTAGCATGCAGTAGGTATGAATGCCTGCCTGGGAGAATGAGAACCCCACTAAGCTTGTGCAAATGAAAGTGCCATTTGGTGGAGTACACTCAACTGAAATATAAGCAATCCTCTCTTAGCAATCCTAGATGTAAACTAGCAGAGAGCTTAATGACACTCCCTATACCTCACTGTTTTTTCTTTACCTGAAAATACACCAAAGCAGTGGAGATACATTTAGTTTTAAGTTGGCTGTAATCACAGTAGAGAGAGGTAGGCTTTTATAAAGGAAATAAAGGCCACCTTACATCTTTTTAAAGAAAAACACTTGGAGGACGCACAGTGATGCAGAGAAATACATTTCAATTTCTGTCTCATTTCCTATTCATCATTTTCAGCTTCAAAGACTGCCAGAGAGAATAATCCAGATCTCACAGTCATCAGAGAAGAAAAATGTCCCCAATAATCAACATAATTGAAATGAGCTTTCCCAAACCTTTTACCAACCCACACCCTGAGCCCACAAAGAAGGAAACCCAATAGGAGGATGCAAATTTGTGCATCATTTTATTACTGGTATCCAGCAGTAAAGCACTTACCACATACGAGGAAAATAATACTGATTTGCTACAGAACCAGAAGCTAGAAACCTTTAATACACCTACTACCCAAATCTCTCAAGATAAGCTCATTTTACATCAGGGTACTAATCTAGAATTTATTCATGTTAAAAATAGCCTTAAAATTAGATGATCTGATCTCCTTGGTTTATAAATAAGGAAGCTGAGGCTACAGAATGAAGGGACTACCACTTACTCTCAGGTCTCCCAAAGTTCAGAGCTAATATTAAACTATAACATGATGACTCAAATGAGTTAGTGTCCAGTGAGTTAGTGTAACAGTTTTAGAATGGTGGCTCATAATCATTTTAGAGTATTCTTCATGTTTAGAGACCTTATTACTTTCCTGGTGCTATTCCCTCACTCCCTTCAAAGCAAAGAATGCCATTACAGTATTAAAAATAAAATCATTCAATTTAATTATTCAAAAATTGATACTTTTGCGAGTGCGGTGGGTCCTGAGCAGGCCTACAATGGCCTCCCCACTCCCAGCCATGGTTGGTGAACTCTGGAGTTCTAAGCAAGAGGGCACCATGGGTTCTAGAGGCTGTGTGGCCTGGAGTGAGTGTCCCCCGCAACATCCCCCAAACCTAGCTAGTTTGGGATCCTCGCTTGGTCCTGGACAGGAAACTTCACAGCTTCATGTTGCACTGGACCAGCTCAGTGGGTCTTGAGCTGGTCTGCCCCACTGCCAATGACCCTCTCTGGATCTGGGGAATTGGATGGCCAGAGTTCCAGGAGCTGAGGACATAGAAGAGGATTTCCAACAGACCCTGGGGAAGCCTTGGAATAACACTTGAAACACAGGAATAAAGGAAAATGACAAAATGAAAGACCAAATTACAATCTCAAACCTCCTGCCCAACCCAAGAAACCTTAGGAGCTATGTACAGAGAAGAAAATATATGCCATACACCCGAAACATCAGACATAATAGCAACTGAAATAAAGAAGCAATTCCAGGAAGTTTTAAAGGAATTCAAACTAGAAATAATCTCCCAGGTAAAAGAAAAACAGGATAAAAGAAATGGAGATGCTGAATATATCTAAAGAAGACAGTTAAAAAATGGGAGGAACAAACACAAAAATAGAATCCCTGGATGAACAATATAAGAAACAAACAGAATACATAAAGCAGATGCAAAGAGATATACAAGAAAACAAAAATTCCATTGAAAGTTGTAAAAACCACCTCAATGAAAGTGAAGATAGAATTTCAGACCTCGAAGACAAGATTGCAGCTAGTGAACAGGAAAGGAAAGATCTTCTAAAGATAACAAGGATTCAGGAAATAAAAATTCAACAACTGCAAGATGATGCAGAGAAAAACAATGTAAGATTGATAGGGATAGGGGCTGAGGATTTAGCTCAGTGGCATAAGCACCTGCCTTGCAAGCACATGGTCTTGAGTTCGATCCCTGGTACCAGTAAAAAAAAAAAAAAAAAGATTGATAGGGATAAATGAAAAAGAAGGGGACAACACAAAGGATAACAAGAGGATATTTAGACAGTTAATAGCTGAAAATTTCCCAAACATAAGATTGGAAACCAACATCAGGATCAGTGAAGCATCGAGAACTACAAATAGTCATAACCAAAACACAACTACACCAAGATATATAATAATCACATCCCAGAAATCCAACGTGAGAATAGAATATTAAAAGCTGTCAGAGAGAAAAGACAGATCACTTATAAAGAAAAACCTATCAGAATCACAGCAGACTTCTCAGCACAAACACTAACGTCAAGAACAGCAGGAAGTGAAGTATTTCAGATCCTAAAGGAAAATGACTTCCAACCTAGACTGATGTATCCTGCAAAACTGTCCATCAAAATCGATGGAGAAATAAGATACTTTCATAATAAAGAACAGCTGAAGAACTTCATGATCACCAAGCCAACCGTGCAAAGAATACTGAAAAACACTTTAGATACACTGAGGAAAAAACCACGAAGCAAAGCAGACAAACAGAACACTAAGATAAAGATGAAACAGCAGAAAGATAACATGTTAACAATAATCCAACATATAACAGTTGAAACCATCAATGTAAATGATCTCAAAGCACCAATTAAAAGAAACAAACTGGCAGATGGATCAAGAAACAAGATCCAACCATATGCTGCCTACAAGAAACCATTCTAACCCAAAAAGATACTCACAGACTGAAAGTCAAAGGATGGAAGACAATACTTCATGCAACAGGAACCCCCCTAAAAGCGGGGGTAGCTATTTTGTATACAGACAATGTGAACTTCAAACCAATAATGGTCAGAAGAGATAAAGAAGGTCCCTACATACTGGTTAGGGGAAAACTTCAAAAGGAAGAGATAACTATCTTAAATGAAAAACCAAATCAGCAGTAACACAATCACAACAGGAGACCTTAACACACCATTGACACCAAGGGACATATCAACCAGATAGAAAATCAGCAAAGAAATAACAGAAATGAATCACACCTGTGAACAAATGGACTTGATAGACATAATCAGAGTATTCCACCCAACAACAGAATACACCTTCTTTTCAGCAGTACATTCATTTTCTAAAATAGACCACATATAAGCTCACAGAACATATTTAAATAAATTGAAAAGAGTTGAAATTATTGCTTGCATGTTATTGGATCATAGAACTATGAAATTAGAAATTAATGATAAAAGATATGGAAAAATCACACAAGCACATGGAAACTGAAAACATACTCTTGGTAATCAATGGGTCACAGAGGAAATTAAACAAGAAATTAAACAATAACTACAGGCAAATTAAAATACAAATACAACTTACCGGAATCTGTGGGATGCAATGAAAGCCGTCCTCAGAGGAAAATTTATTGCACTGAGTTCCCACATCAGGAAAACAGAAAAAATACAAATAAATAACCTGACGTTACACCACAAACATCTAGAAAAAGAAGAGCAAGTCAGGCCCAAAGCCAAAAGAAGGGAGGAAATTATAAAAATCAGAGCAGAAATCAATGCAATAGAGACTAAGAAAACAATCCAAAGAATCAATGAGTCAAAGAGTTGGTTCTTTGAAAGAATAAATAAAATTGATATGCCCCTAGCTAATGTTATTTAAAAAGGGAAGAAAGAGCTCAAATTCATACAATAAGGAAAGAAAAAGGTGACATCACTCTGAAAACAGACTATATAGAAATACAGAAGATCATCAACACCTATTT